AATAATAATAATAATAATAATAATAATAATAAATGCTTTCAAAATTACCTGTAATTGTTCAAGTTCTCTAGAAGCTGCATCATTCTTCATTTTTAATTCCTCCCACTGCTTCTTATGTTTTAATTCTTGCCTTCTCTGTTCAGATTTTACACGCTTTTTCTCATTTTCTTGGAACTGAAACACAAACAGAAGTGCAGTGCCAACAACTGCTAAAATCAAGTAAGAAGTGAAACAAATGTACACTATACAGCTTTAACAAAACTGTGACGTCAAACTTTTAAACTACAAAAACGACAGGCAACTCTATTTTACCTCAAGTCAAACAAGAGTAAAAGAAAAAAGCATGAAGCAGAGGGGGGAGCTTACCTCTCTGAATTTGTTCTTCTCCTCATCAGGACTCAGGACTGTGCTTATCCTCATGCTCTGTTTGAATAACTGTTCCCTGGTTTTCAGTTCATTCTTCTGTATTTTGGGTAATCTTTTCTTTTCTAGTATGTGTCTCCTTATCATCTCGTCCTCCTTGTGTGTGTTAATTCTCTTCACTTGCTCCAATTCCTATAAGCAAGAAACACTCAAACATCATCACCTTATTTTACTACAACCTCTTGGTACTTGACAAGCTCTTGGCACATGCTGTGTATCTATAAAGTGACCAATTTAAACATGTTAATCACATTGAATATAAGACATTTTAATATATTTATTTGATACAAAATATCTGATTTAACAATGAAAGTGTCGGTTTGAAAAAATTCTTTTACCTATTGCAAGCACCAGGAAAAAATTTCCATAATCAAAATAATAACTAATTTCATCTTAACATCATCAATTGTCAAGATTACACTAAGAATAAATATAAATACAACACAATAAAAAGGCAAGCTACTTACCCTTTCATGTCTAGTCAACATCTGGTGTCTCTTAAGGAAGAACAAATCTTTGAGTTGACGTTTTGCAAGTTGGTGTTTCTCATGGAGTTGTCTCTCTTCAAGTTCCCAGATAGCTGCTTCTCTAGCTGTAACACGAAAATGACTTAAAAAGTGAGGAACGATTAAACACTGTATCACGCATTTCCCCCCTTGAAACAAACAGTTTGCCAATTCTATAAAAGGAGAACAAAAAGCATATGCTCATGTTCTCACAAATTATGGAAATGATATGATTCTATTTTACAGAAGGGAAAAGATATTACTGAGGAGAGTAAAACTGCAGAACTATTTGATCAAGTTAACTTATGTCTTAGGAGGTTTCATTACAGAAGCCCATTCTTATAATTGTTTAAATAAATTGACTTATCAAATTCAATCCAAAATTCTGCCATTTCTGGTTATTTGCATGGGCTAAAGGAATACCCATGCTCTGAGTAATAAGGTTTATGAATTATTTTCTACTTTTGCAGTTATAAAATAATTATTTGTACAATAACATGTAACAAGTAACAATACCTCTTAATAGCTGTTGTTTCTGCTGTAAGAATTGTTTCTCTAGTAGTGCAATTTTCTCCTTGTGCTGATCAGCAAGTCTCTTCATTGAGCGTTCCAAGTTCTCCTGCTGCTTCTCAAGAAAATTTCTCTCCTAAAATACCACAATTGAAAATGTACCAAGGCATCTTTGTTAAACAAATTATATTCGCATATCCAGAACTATTCAAAAGACTATGTAACCTCATTATCAAAATGTGTTCAATGGGCGAGGGGTCACATTGCTTCCCTAGACAAATCAAAGGACTGAAATCAATCCAAATTCCATGAGAAACCAGTAAATTTGCCTAATTATTTATTGCTTCATTTATTGCTCTGATTTGTGCTGACATATACACATAAAAATGCCCCTTTTCAAATCACATTTTAAGTCCCATGATACCTTTTCAGCCTGTTCAATTTCCTTCTCTTCCTTCTTTTTCTTGTATGCTTCCTTCCTGACATCTTTGGGCATCATGTCTACCTGATGTTTCAGCAGTTTCAGCTCATTCTTTAAATCTTCTCTGAACAGCTTCAGTTCTCTCTCCTGAAGTCAAAATATGAATTTAAGTGGAAGATTGGTTTAAAAAGTAGGTTAAAGAGACAATATGCATGAAAAAAATTTTTTCCAGTGTCTATTGGAAATCACAATTTGAAGTTCCTAATTCAAAAACACCAAATAAATATGTATTTTGAAGATTTATGAGAACTGATGGCACTATTACATATATATTATTTTTGGGCTTTGCGATATCTGCACAGGCTATTAAAAATGCCATTCAATGGCCTTTTCATTAATACAGGGTGTTTGGTGTTCATTTGCCAACTTAATGTGTCCAATCAGTATAGAACCAGCAGCAACTCTCTATGCATTGGTGGAAAAATTACTACTACAGGTATCAAAGAAGCAAATGAAGAAACACAAGGTTAAATCTGAAAAACAACAGCGTGACATTCTACAACCATAAACACAACTGCATCATGGAAGCAAAAAGGCAATACAGTATAAATTGTTTGTCCTAACAGTGAATACTGATTAGAATTGTATTGTTCCAAGGCCATAATGACTTACATAAATGTTTAGTGTGACTTTAATAATAGATTTATTTCAATTACATAGTTAAATACAAGTCGCAATGGCTATAAAACAGCAACCAGGACAATATGAATTGTAAATTAGCTGACATTTAATGTCTCTGCTGCAGCAGTCCAAATTAATACTGTGGAAGGATTCCACATAGTAATTAGCATATAGTGATAAATACCACTTGTTACCTAGACATGTTCATGGAATGATTTTAGGACAATAGTACCAGAAAAAAGACTGCCCTGAGTGCACTGTGCTTCCTGCTTCCATTATAAGGGGCAAATGAAAAGCTTTACTTTGGCAAAGATATTTTCAGATGCAAGTGCTTATTTATTTTTTTTTACACTAAAATGACAAGAAAATGTTTTTCTTTTACCTGGTCCAGCCTGAGTTTCTTTGCTGCTATATTTAGGTCTTGTTCTTGGGCTTTCTCTGCCTTTTCCACTGCAAACTTCTGCTGCTTGTTCAGGTTCTCAATATCCACCTCAAAGTTCTTTAACAAGTTCTAGAATGGAAAAAAAAATCTTCAATTTAAATTCTTTTCATTTTTTCAAAATTAGTTGTTTTTAATTTTACAAAATGGAAATTAATCTTGAAACCTGTTACCTAGCATTCATAGATTAGCACTGTCCACTTTCCTCAGCCACACAGGCTTATCCTCACTGTGCAAGCAATAGACTCATTCTTGTTTTAATAAAACTCCATGATAATAGTTACAGAGAATGCATTTCCCTCACAGAAGATGGCAATTTTAACTTAAAAGTCCTGAATGTCCATATTTTACACAAACACCATGTATATACGTAGTATCCCATGGCATATGTAAAATGAGACAGCTTGCACCTATGTTTCATTTCTTATCACATGCAAACTCAAGTATAAAGGTGATGTCCTTTACCATTGCTTCAAGAAAAGAAGACCATTTCCATGCCACCCATGAAACATTTTAAGACCAAGTGTATTAAAAAATGTATATATCAAGATAAAAAAATCTATCCAAAAATGCATCCAAAGAGACAGAATAGAGGAACCTGTGTCGCCTGAAAACTTGCCATCCCATGCCTGATATTTTCATGCTTTTTTATGTCCAAAATATACATAATAACACTAAATATCCAATCATGCCATTATTTATAAGAGGGATGCATTGATCATGGCAATGAACACTGTACCTCTATCTGTCTCTTATAGGATTGCAGGTTGTATCGGATATACTAGACAAACGAACAAACAGAAATAAATTTAATATATCATCTCAACAACAATATATTTCCTTGTATACCATTTTCTAAAAACTGAAAAAAATTAATATCAAATGTGCAATCAAAAAGCTAAATATAATAAGTTCAATAAGCTGTTGGTCTGCTGTCTCAATGAGTTGAAAATAACATACCAACCACTTAATTACTTGCTACACTGCCTGTTTTATATTACAGGATGATGGTTTTTATGACCCTATTTATTAATATAGTACAATATACTTATTGTCCAATATGAACACAGGTATAGGTGCTCATCACTCGCTCATTCATGCAAACAAGCACCACTCACTCATTCACGCAAACACGTACGCACGCACACATATCTACACATTCTAATTACAGTCCTCACCTGCATTTCTTGTTCAAACTTCTTTTCTTGCTGTTCCCTGGCATACTGTGCCTTGTAGACCAGTTCCTGGTACTGTTTGTTTTCAACCTTCTGTAGCAGCTTCAGCTCTCTCAAGTCTTGCTTCCTGGAAAACAGATAGTGTGCTAGATGTGAATTCTGAGAGTGTGGTGAGAAAGTATATTGGTGAACATGCAACATTATACCACAAAAGATGAGAAAAATCTTGGCCTTGAAGGGTGCATGCTGCATGAAAAAAAAAAGACTGGTTGTAAGATGACTGAGTAAGAAATTGGAATTGGGTGTGAGATGGGACTTGTCATAAGTTATGATTGACTGTAACAAAGGACTAGGTGTAGAAAGGGACTGAGGGAGACAGGATTTGGTGAAAGAAGGGAGAATCAGACAAGTGAGACACAGAACTGTATCTGTCATAATGGCCCTTTTCCTGTTGAGCAGTATACTTAACTAGGCTGGTCCTCTCTAAGAGGTCCTAAAATATAATATCTCTACAGGGTTTTTATTCCCTTTCACAAATTATCAACAAATTTGCTTCATGTTAAAATAATTGCCATGTTGGATGTGGGGATTCTGTTTAGGTGACTTTCTTCTGTAGCAGTCAGACTAATGAAATGTCAATCTCTTAAAAATAACCAGTCCATGTAAATGTACCACTCAATTTTAATAAAAGGGCCAAAGCTCCTGATGGCCTGTCTGTACTTGTGACTGCTTGTCCACGAGTTCTTCAGACACAATATGCAGAACAGTCAACATTTGAGAGTCTGAAAACTTGATAATTAGGTACAAAACGGTACCAGGGCTGGATAACACAAATGTAAATCTCTATCAAAACAGGATATAAAAACAAAATGCAGGAAGGACCAGCCAATTTAATCCATGAGGCCTTGAACTTATCCATGTCACCATGTCTTATGTGGTAGTATTCCAAGAAAAGCATGCTTCGTGAGGCTTGAAAATTGGTTGAGACAAAATATGAAATAAGACCCAACATGAAGAGAGGATGATAAATCAGTAGCTTAAGGCCTGATTTCTGAAGATAAGTTACATATATCTCTTGGAAACTTTGATAGCATCTCTATTTTTTTCAACCCCTGGCACTGTCATTAAAAATACCATCTGTAAAACATTAGACTGAAAAGAAGTCTGCACTCCTGCATAAGAGTTTCTAGCAGCTTTATGAAAACATCTGTTTAAAATGTCACTCTGAGGTCAGTGTCCAACTGGACATAAATTCTTGTTCCTAACAACTAAACCAGAGATTTGAAGGGCCTAGAAAAAGGCCATGAAACAAAAGTATCCCTTGAACAATAGGAAAAATAGTGACTTCCTTTTTTAACTCACAACAAACCCATATATACATGTAACTGTATTGTAAATATTTCATTCCATTCCATGACAATGGCATGTAACCAATATCACTAAAAATATAATAATATTAAAGACAATCCCAATAGTGAAAAGATATTTAAAAGCTATTTTCAGGTAATATCATAACAATGTGAATACTACCTACTAAGGCTAAACCCAAGGTGTCTGACTAAGCTACTCTGCTGCAGAATGAAAGGAGTACCAGTCAGTTTTAAATGTTCTCATTTTCTCTGACAGATTACCATAGAATATGAAGAGTGCCCATCCTTAAACTGGAAACTGATAATAAAGCTGACTGGTACATTTCCTCTCTGACTCTAAAAAATCTAATATTCACGACTTAAAAAAAAGGCAATCAAAGGAAATATCAATTTCTTTATGATTCAGAAATGTTTTAATTTTGTTAGGATGTTATGGGATGAACAGATTTATAAATAACCTAAATGAAATGTGCGGGATGAACAGATTTATAAATAACCTAAATGAAATGGTGTGATTTCACGCAAATGCATGCCAAATGCTTCCATTAAGCCAATGTAGAGCTTCCTATATGACATTATAAATGTAATTCAGGCGTCTTTTTAACATATAACCAGTTCCAGCTTGCTTTTTCTATTATTTTTTTTAACCAAATGTGACAGTAACACGTTTTCTTTGACCCATGCTTTTTCTGCCCTTTCAGGTAGATTACATAACCTGTAAATAGTGCCTACCCTGCAAGGTTCATTTGGTGGTATGCATCTGTAGCTAAATCCATAGCAATCCTATTCAATACACCAACAGTCTGTGGTTTCTTAAACAAAGGGTTACCCTTTTTGTCCAAGCTACCCAAGCTTTTACTTCTCTGCAGCACATTTTGGAAAGGAACATAACTCTCATCATCAGCAGTGTCCAGGTAAAATCGTAGCTTCTCTAATTTCAAATCAGACACATGAAAAGTATGGTAACAATCCTTCTCTGGCTCTGCTGGCCACAGCTCTTTCATCACTTCATCAAAGTTCCAGGGTAGTGGGAGCAGTGGTCCCGTCATGAAGTTGAGAAAGTTTGAAAACTTGGACTCGGTGTATGTCAAGGGGAATTTCAGGTCAGTGTGGTGGTGGTGCTGACTGGTTGATAGATGTTCTTGGCTACGACACAATCTCTGGAGTCTGGGACTCAACGCGGCCAGAGATGATTTCCCAGAACTGTGCCCAATGTTTACTTTGAATGGCCCATGGAGTGACAAGTCTCCAAATGTGTTCTTCTTTGAACTATAACCTAATAACTGAGATCTACCCATGGATCCGTATCTCTTTAATGTCTGATTATTTATCTCTAGTTGTTTAGAATCTGAGGCTGATCTAGTGTGTGTTTTGTATGGCAGAAGTCTTGGGGACTCCAGGGTAATTGGATGCCTTAAGCCACTGGACTTTTTAACACCATTTGATTGGGATGATATTGGGGAATAGTGTCCTGATGTCATGGTCTGGGTTGAACTGTTTCCAGAGTCTGAACTAAGTGGGGCCTGGTCTCCATTGTAATCTGTAATCTGTATCTCTGGTATGATGAATGCCTGTAAACCATACTTATTTCTAAAAGATTGAATACTTTTGTCACTGCCATCATCATCATCATTCTCTATGATTTCAGAATCAGAAGACCTCCTGGGTTTACTGTCCAGGGCAATGGAGCTATTCAAATGTGACACTGGTCGGCACTGGCTGTGCATCTTTTGTCTGTTCTTACTACTTTCCCTCCTAGAAGCTAAGCGAGGGGAACGACTTGGTTCTCTGATCAGTGGAAAAGTCTGAAAGTTCTGTTCCTTTGCCTTCTTTTCTGATGTCCTATGTCTACCTCTTGACCTGTGTTTGGATTTACATAAATCCACAATGTCTTCGTGGGAGGCAAAAGGAGAAAAACTACTTTCCCCTGAATGCACCGAATCATGACTGAGTGCCTTAGAAAGAGATGTGTTATATTTCTCAATGGCTTCAAAGCCCCGTGAATTTGTATCTTCCACTAACATCTGAGGGTAAACCTCTACTACAGAGGGCGTTAGTATGACGCGCTGACTATGATTTCTAGACTGTGATGATTCTGTCATCATGATTCTTCACTACTCTCTTGATGCACTAATCCATTACTTCAGAGCAAATCACCAGTGACCACACAACATGGTCTTTTTACCCTTTTTCCCCTCCAAAGGTGACCTCAGATGCCATTTCAAACAGCAAAAATATGTGTATATAGTGATAAAGTGGCCATTTACAACTCCCAGTAACTTGACACCTCTCCTTACTATACCAGTGCATGAATCGGTCCCAAATCTAGGTGGAGTAAAATTTAATAACTAGCAGAACAAGCTGTCGATTTAATGTTAAACTCCAAGTAACAACACTGGCCAATCCCAGCTTCTTGTATAGCAGACATCATTAGCATATGACTGTAGCAGTTGTGTTCTCATTTTCACACCTGTTACACACTAACTTAACAAAATACATTTTTATTCTATGTTATTACTCTCAACAATTCTTTGATTTTAAAACACATTTAATTACATGTGGTAACCAAGATGACCAATTGGGTTTGGGTGGCACTTTTAAGGCATATTACTTTTGTTATGTTTGGTCAAAATTGGAATCCTTACCAAGTATTATATGGACCTGTACTGTTGACAACATCATATACAGTCAACTCATTTAAGAAGATAAAACTCTTGGACACTTCTCTGGTCATTGCACTGTCATATCCCAGGGATTGGTCAAGAAAAAACAGGCGGAACACCTTCTGGACCAGCTTCATTTGGGAATATGAAATCGGTCTTTTGAGAGTAATTTTTCTTTTGAGCTGAAGTCCTTTTACAAGTTTATGCCATTAGAGAGTCCTGTTTCCTGCTACAGATATCAGGCAGAGGTCAAAATAACCACAGACTTTCATACTCTAGTCCAGGGCTTCATTCAACAGTTCTCTGCAATATGTTAGATTAGAACTGCAAAACTTTCTTCAGCAAAGGTCCAAACACTATTTTCCATCCTCTCAGTCCACTTCTAAATGAGTGTGAAGATAGTGCCATGTGCCCTCAAAAGCAGTTTGGTAACTGTACAGCATTTCTATTTTTTTTAAAACACTGTTGCAAGCATTTTGTGACTCTCAATTTTTTCCAAGTATCCAATAATGCATCCCAAAGAGAAAATAAATCTGCCTTCCATCTTAAATGAACCAGGTCAACACAATCCTATTGGAAATTGCATAGCTTTATGTGACCATTTCTGGTGACATAATACATCTTCCATCATTGTGACTGGCTGCAGATGTGAGACTAAAGCAATCAACCTCATATCCATGCTACCCATTCCCTCCAAATTATCTTGAAGATCAGCTATGTCAATATGTTGCTCAGTCAACAGAATATTTGGCAATGCCATGAGATCATGATGAAGTCATGGGTTACACAAAGAATGGCACAAGTGCACAAACATATGTCACAGTCTGTATTAGGTAAGCTGATCTAGGAGTAGTTATATGTATATAAACTGAGAGAGAAAATACCATCATCGATCAGTACATCTAATATGCATATCCTGCATATATTCATGTGTGTCACCAGCAATAAAACGTTCAGTTCAGAGACAAGTGAGCAGTTTATGAGAGTTGGTATAAAGTTGGTGGTGTTACGGCATGTTAATGGGATAGTTAAATTCTGCCCACCTCAGAACTATGCATACTAAACATACCCACCCCCCATAGCATTTCTATTGATATGGCTTTTAATGACAATTAAAAACCCAACCTTAATTCTTTTTTAAGAGGGACAGCTTTTAAGATGACAATAATATGTACTGAAGGTGACAGCTTGCCACAGGGCAAAAAGGCAGATTTCCCAGAATCCTCAGTCCTGGTCATATGACCCATGTAACAAGATGTTGCCACTGGTGATAAATGTCCTATCCATGCATCATTTATAGCATTAAATGGATTTGCATTTGGCACTGAAAGTCACTTTATGTTATCCTCCTTGAATAATGTGCTTCTTTAGCACAGTTAATTTTCAATTACATCCTTGTATTGCAGGAAGATAATTAAGAATGATTTAAGAGCATGACTTCAGTTCAAATTACTAAATGACCAAATATAGCAGACATGAGCCTAGGTTAAAAAAAAAACTCTAAACATTTATCACGACAGATCTTGACGAATCTCAGGAACCATCAAAATTGAATAAAAAAACGCGGAATTACGCATTTCCACAGAAAAAGCTCATGTCTGATATAGGTAAGGCAATGCAACCTCCTAAGTTTTAAAATTATTTTAATTGAAGAGAAGGACAGTTATTGCCAATTACTTCATGATTTTTTGCAGGAGCGTTAAACAAGCCCTTTTTTTGTAATTATTTATGGGTGGATTTTTTTCCAATAGAAATGTCTGGGATCAGAATAAAACCAATTCATTAATCTGCAGCTCAAAAACTGACAGACCGTAAGTGTACACTACAGCAAGTAATACCCTTTTAAAATCTGAAGTTTGCTGGAGCAAGTGTGAAGGCATTTATTCTGTTCCCTGGTCTGGTTACGGCTTTTTAGACATAAACAGAAACATGTTTTCAACTGTGATTTTAACTATTAATGAACAATAATATCAGTGGGCTTATAAAGATGGTTATGAAAATGAAAACCCTAGTATGATAATACATGTCAGCATCATAGTGGACGTCAAGGCTACATCATGGTTTAAGCACCATGTTCAAATCAAAGCCAGTTTTTAAATACTATTTTACCATATGAATGGACTCCTATTAATTGTTAGTTCATTACCAAATTCATGCTTAACTAGAGATCTCTCCAACAGGACAGACTTGCACCTAGGAAAAAGCACTTTTTTTCTCTCTAAACGACAGTCTATCCTGATTATGTAGGTAGAACTTTTTAAGATAGCTTCTCTTTTACAAACAAACCAACACCAATGAAAACAGAATCAAGTTAGTTGGCACAGATAATTCACATCACCCTACATCACTCACCTCATTTGGTGTTCCTCTTTACTCTTGTTTTCTTCTCCAGCAGCCACTACCCGGGTTGTCTTGGATGTGACAACAACACCATCTATCATATATTTACGGGTCTTGTTGATGGTGCGATAATCTGCTTGTTTCTGACCCTATTGAAATAAATAATTCCACGTTAGACCTAATGATTCTTACAGCAATATCTCTCATGATACAAAAAAAGGCATCTTTAACATATTGCTCTTTTTTCAGACTAGCTACCTCATACTACATTTATTTTAAAAAAGGTACATTAACAGTTACTCACGTCTCTGGATTTTGTTGTTCCTCTGCCTTCATCTGACCTAGATTCCCTCTTTTCATTCTTCCTATATCTGACTCCTTCAATCCTTCCATCAGGAGCCCTGTTTACCTCTCCTTCTCTACCAGTGTCTCTGGGTGGGGTGGGAGCTTTTTCCCTTCGTGGGGAATCCCTACCGACAGAACCATTGATCAGTACAGAAGTGTCCGGTGGAACAGCCTGGTTATTTACAGTGACATCAGGCCGACTGTTCTTATTGGCTTTCATTGCCTCTCGTAGACTCTGTGGCCCTTGTGAATCATGTTTTTCATTTTCTCTAGTCTCTCTGACTTTTGACCTAGAGTCATCTTCCTCTTCATCAAGGTCAGTGACCATGACCTTGCCACCTGCCTCTTCAACTGGAGGGGGCAGAACTGTGTCACTGACTATGTCATTAACAGTGTCCAAGACCACGGCTGGTATCGAGGGCTGTGTGGTGTCTGACTTGATAACCTCATCAAC